TGCCAAGCATTGGCTATTATATTATTTCCGTGTCAATGTTCCCATCTTCATTAAAAGGTGTAAGATGACAAAAACAAGATCTTGAATAATCTATATACTACTAAAACTCTGAGATTGTTTGTCAAAAAATCATTCACACAACCATTCGCGCTCTTTACGAAACTTCTTACTTCACTTTTTTGAAAAATGAAATGGTCTTTCCTTTTACTCCCGATCAACAATCAAATATCTTTTCTTGAATTATGAATAACACAAATGGATTGAAATATTTAATTAAATCATCTCAAAATAAACCTTCATTTCAGTGCAGTATTGAAATTAGCATGAATTCTTCATAACCTCTGAATAGTGGTTGACCCAACGGGTCACGGTGGTTTAGTTGTTAAATAAATATGAAACTAGATAACCTACATAAGAAATATTCAATGAGGCAAAAATATTTAGAGTTCTTATTACGACACTAAAATATATATACATATAATCGCAAAAGCTAAAGAACCAACAACTATAAAAATTATCTTATACACAAACAAACGTACCAAGAATATTTTCATGCCTCAACAACACAGTCTGATAAATTTCAGTCTCTCTGATCCAGCTGGCTTCTTCTGTTGTGAAGAACACTTTGACTGCTACATTCTCTCCTCTCCATTTAGCTTTCCACACCTCTCCGTACCGCCCCTTTCCAATACTGTTGATCAGCTCGATCTGTTTTGCTATTGTTCGTTGAACCTATGAATGCAAAAAAAGCTTAGAATGAAATAGGGGGGAAAAAAAACCTTAGTCTTTGCTTTCACTCTTACAAGCTGATAAAGGAAAAAAATGTGTTTTCTAAGACAATTATTATCGTGCCATATGAAATTTGTACTAAACTCAGTTCTACACACCAGTAACTTTCAATATTTAAATACAATTGTTTCAAATACATGATGGCTAACTAATTAACAGTTACCAAGTTTTTATATCTCTCTCTTTCTCTGTCTATATATAGGCATAAATGTCTCTCTCGGGGAAGTAACGTGGGCTATGTTGATGTGGCCTCAGAGGCTGTTTTGAGGTCAAAGTGAACAATATTGCAATTTTTGGCAAACAGGATGACCAATTGGTCTCAAATTGAAAAGGGTGGAATTTTTTTTGGTAATGTGTGATCAAGAGGGCTATTATTTACTTTTCCTCTCTTTGTGAAGACTTCTCCTAATCATTCTATCCATGATCAATTATGTGTTAAAACGAGTTCAAAACTTCGTGAAGCCTTCATTTGTGCTCTTTGCAAAAAATCATGATTAATATGGTTTAGTTAATCAAAACAACTCAGGATATTAAATTTTTTCTAGGTGATCCCACCAAAATGAAGGTTAAACCTATCTAAAAGAACAGCAAAAGCCAATGCTGTGAAAGAAGGAACAGGAAGACAGTAGAAGAGAGAGTCAGCTTCAAAAAAATATCTTCTTCCTCACAGCAAGACAAAAATAGTGTGTTGAAATAAGCTTTAAAGTAGATCAATAAATTAGCATGTAAATAAAGAACTAAATCAGTTAAAACCATTTTTCATCTGAGCAATGCCAGGTACTCTGCTAGTTGAAAGTGAACCTCTTATCTTATTTTGGTAATTAATGTGACATAGTAGACATTTTCAATTTTCTTTTAGTATATAATGCCTACACTGGTAAATTAAGACCTGCTGATTGGTATCAAATGAACTATTAATAAACAGACATTTCAATCTGTTACTCCAAATTTTCCCAATATCAACTTAGTCAAAAATGAAAATTACAGTAACCAGTATAAAAACTTTAAATAATAACATAGAATAAACTAAATTAATGATATTATTTCATTCCTCGTGGCAACAATACCCAAGGTCCATAACTCAATATATTACCCCTTTTACTTATTAATGTAGTCAGGGCTTAGGGTATTATTCCCTATTGTATGAAATGATGTATCACACATTATATCATTGTTATTATCCTACTCTATTATTTAAAACTGTTTGATAGTTCATTGTGTCACCTTCAGTTTAGAACAATATAATACAAGAAAGTTACCTGGTGGTTAGATCTTTTTATCACTAAAATATTTTCACACGTGAATAAGTATGACAAAACACTTATATAATAATAGAAGCCAATAACCTACATAAGTCAACACAGGCTTAATTTTCTGATGAAAGATCATTAGTTCTTGAAATGAGCCTCACTAATCCAAGATATGGAATATCTTGACTTCTTGTTTTTAAAATTGAAGCTTTCTTCTTGAATGCAATTTAGAAAACTGAATGAATCCAAGGATGAAATAATTACTTATAAGTAAGAGTGTGCTGACTTACGTAGATTATTGGATATTATTATTAAATAAGTTTTTGTCACACTTGTTCAGGTGTGAAAGTATTTTAGTGATAATAACAAAGAAAGGAGGTATTATTTGACAGTTTCTCACAATGGTGTAGTTCTAAAGGGCTAAAATAATAACACATATGAAATTAATGTCATTTTTATTGTCCTTTGTTTACAATGTAACTGAAAAAAAATCTCCAGGAATAGACCTCCAAATTCACTTAGTTAATTAGTAGAGACTATTTAGTTAATATATATATATAACGATTAATATGGAGTTCTTTATGTATCTAAGGATTATGGAACAACAGCATAAGCACACTAAAATCTACAGTAGTACAATCAAAACAGTACACACATGACTGACAGAAGTATGAGGAAATCGTGTCAAAGATAAATCAGGTTTAGTGTTTAAAGGTGAAGATAAATAACAAACTAAAAAAAAATCCACTACAAAATTATTGTGTATATGTTTTAGCTAGCTAGTGTAGTTTCATAACACTAGGGATAGAATGTTAGGAGTATATCAACTCTGACATTAACCCATTCAGTTTTTCCCAGGAAGTCAAATCTGTGAGTAGCATAAAGATAAGATGGAAAACTTTAGAATGGTATTGATATTACTTACAACATAGAGTACAGATTTAGTGGAAAACCACTGTAGAGTAGCATATCTTACAATTCTGCAGTCAAAAAAGGCTTAACCACACATATTATAGAAAATAATCACAAAAAAATAATTACTTGTAACCTTACCAACTCAATAAACCTGGAAAATAGTACTGACAGAATACATGTAAAAGGTTAATGTTTAATCCACAATATTTTTGTTTTAAATACGAAAAATATTAAAAGTAGATAAAAAAAAAGGTTGGTCAACATGTTAGCCATACTATCTTTATCAATATGAATGTAGAAAAGGAAAAGGAAGTAAAAAAAAAAAAAAGATAGAGGGGCCTATTTCCTGGATGACTGGGAAACAGCAGAAAATTAGTATTGCACGAGGAAAGGAAGTGGAAGTACAATAAGGGTCAAGTAATTCTAATAAAGTTTGCAGAGGTGAATACAAGTTAAGGAGACAACTAGAGAGATAGAAATATGCAGAAAACTTATTACTGGTCAATAGCGAAAAACATCTTCTAGATCAAAAATTTGTTAGATGAGGTTATTTTGGCTCTATCATAAACATAGTATTAGCAGCCTGTAACACTTAGGCCACCATTTATACAAAATATATATCCCTTTAGACTGTGAGAAAAAAAAGTTGATGCTCTAATTGTCTTTCCTTGCATTGTAATATTGGTAAGTAGCAGTAAGTAGGCCTTGAGCAGCTTGAGTCTAGTGTATATTGTAGCTCTCTGAATTTGTTGATCTCATGCCTAACTCCCCCAAAAAGGCTCGTATTCTATGAAAGATTGCTAACCCATGCTCTAAACAAATAAGGGCAGGAACAGTTAAATATAAAAATGATATACTGTGATATGAAACTATTAGAAAAATACAAAAAACAAAAGCACTCATATGAAGTTTTCTAATTCAGATATTAACATTTCAATAAACAAAAACTTTCTACAAGGTTTCCTCTTAACATGTTTTATTGTAAATAGAAATATGCTGAGGGCAGATCAAATACATTAAAAAATATACAAGAATTATTATATTTGATTCACTATTTCAGTTTTAAGAGATAAGATAAACTACAAGCAAATGGTTTGCCTCATTTTCCTTACTTTTTGGTGGCAGGTAAAATTTCAAATTTTAGACTCAGAACCTCATAGCAACGTATTCATTAATTTCACACACAATGAAAAAAAAATCTTGAAATTTTATATTTTCTTATAATTTTACAAGAGCAAAAGACTGAGCTATAATTCTGGTATAACAGTGTTTATAACATGGTGCAAATAATAATTTCTTACTAATGTACAGTTTTTTTTGTTTTTTAATTTGATGATTAAAGTGAAACTTGAGCTATACAGCCTTCAGTTAACCTATATAATAAAACATCTGACTTCCTAAAGTTGTGTACTGAGCCTCTTGAGTAATGGATTTATTGTCCAAGCATTTTTATTGCTGTATGTTTTATCAGACGTTTGTTAAAATGTGGTTAATAGTTCAGGAGGTAGTTATAAAACTTATAAGTCAGCTAGAAGTTTTTTTATGGCATTTGTAAATCACAATTTTATCAATTTACATACTTAAGAGCTAAAGCTGTTCAAAGTCAGAGAGACCTTTAAACTGTCTAAAGAATATTTATTATTATATATTTTATCAAAATTTTTCAGCTGCATCACAAAAATTTGTTTTTACTAGTAGACAACTACAATAAAATCAAGAGTTTGGAAGATAAATTCTTGCAAATTTTAATATATATAAATTAAAAATCATAATTTACACATTTTCCATTTCAATAAAACACTATGAATTTAGTTTAAAATACAATAATAAATATCATTTATCATCTTGTAGTAAATATTATTATTTACTTGGGTCTTCCCCATAAACACAGGATGGGTGGGATAGTTAAAACATTCACTGTATTATATGTAATTGTACATCGATACTTGATCTTCAACACTCTCCCAATTATAATGTTTGAGATAATAATTATAATTATTATAATCATAATTATATTATAATTATAATCATTTTCATTACAATGCACTTCTAACTTACTAATAAAGGAAGGCCAGATCCACTTCCAGAGCTTAAGGACTTATCTATCAAGTCTTTAATAGTCTCCCCTGTAGTAATAAAAGAGTTACACTGTTCGGAAGCAATGTAAGTTTGTCGTCTTTCTTCTCGTTTTTTGCACCTACAAACAGATAAAATTCTTTAGTAATAACATACGCTGTGAAATTTCACTCTTAACTTTAATATAGAAGTTAATGTTACACAAAAAAAGTTTATTCTTAAAAGTTTGAGTCATGTATAAGAACATAGTGCTTCAACCCATCTTCAGTCTTAATTTCAATAATTGGATACTGAAAATATATAAAATTGCTATGACTACTATTTCATCGGCAGCACTAAATGAATTATAAGTAAAATAAAACTTGTCTGCAAAAGTATATCTCCTCATGAAATTTTAGAAACTTTGTTGTGAAGCACTGTTTTCTTTCTAAAAAAATTTCTTTCATCTTAGACAATTTTTGTTGTCACCATGCGAGTACAGCCTTGTAAATCCATCCAATAAGGGTAGTTTCTATAAAATTAAATTTTCTGTGGCTTTATTTTTATGACAATATTAGCAATTTTCTTGCCTGTACACATAATCACTGACATATAATGAAACTAACTGTTCAACAATATGAAAGAAATAGGGAAAACAAGATTTTTAACATTGTTGATTAGAAAGTTGTTTCATATCTCCAGTTAGTTGTAACTTGTTGGATATTCACAAATTATTTCTTTTGATGTTTTATTTTTTCAGGTTGAAACAGTCAATTTCACTCTGCAAATCACACAAAACAAGACAAACCGACAAACACTTACAGATGAACAATGACCTTATTTTTTAAAAAGAAGGACAGTTACCTTTGTCACGCATGTCCTAGCTTAGGTTATATTTTGTAAATGGTATTTTTGGTTAAGATCAGTTTATAGCATATAATTATACTTTCTTCTCAACAAATATTATGATACTATTTCTTGTGTGCATTCTTTCAGTAACGATTAATTTAAATACTAATACAAAACTAAAAAAAAACTTCAGTCACACACATTTAGCTGCCTGTAGTCACTACACTTAAATATCCTTACCTGCTCTTGTTATAGATAAATGTTTCTGTAGTCTTCAAACAATTACAATATTTATAAGTAGTTAAAATCCAAATAGTAATTACAGTATGCGTACAAGTGCTACTTTTGTTTCAGTATTCATATCTTTAATTTATTTCTATCACAATAAGTGTCAAACAAACAACAACATTTTTTCTAACAAAAAAGGCTATAAATTTGTAGTAACGCTTTTATAAGTTTACATTTTGGTTGAAACCTTGTTCAATATTTCTGACTATGTATGGTATGCTTAACATTATATGAACTAAAATATGAAGAAAATCGTCAAGAGATTAAAAGTTTTTCACATTTCCTACATTAATGGTAATAGAACAAAGCACTATATATAAATAAATAAAACAAATGTAGTTAGTTTATGAAATATTTTAATAAAATATTCTACCATTTTAGATTCATGGACTTTTTTTGCATTATAATACACGGGTCAACTTGTAAACATTCCATATATCAATGTCTAAATTAAGCATATACTACTGCAAACTTCCTTTTCTCAACACTTTGGCTTTCTTACATTTTACTCTTAAATTTGTAATTGTTTATTCTCATACATATATAAATGTACTAATGTAAAACCTAAAAAATGTCAAAGTAAGCATCTTACCTTATGTAGGCAATTAATACAAATACAATCAGGAAGATAAAGCAGGCAGTCACAGATATGAGAAGTGCAATTTGGTGAACACTGTCATCAAAACTTGAGAATTCTCCTAAAATCAAATGTGTGTGTGTGAAATAAATCAAGACCTCACTCTCGATTAAAAAATTCTGTTTTGACAAACACATTTTTTTGGGGGTAGCAAAAAATGATCTAATTTTATTATATTAAAATGCAAAAAAATTTAATAAATTAAATGTCACTGATGAAAATACTCCATAATTTTTTAGATAAAAATGTTGAAAATGATAAATTAAAATGTAGTTTTACGAAGTTCTTCCTTGCAAAATTTGTCAAGTTTCTCTAAGGAAAAAAGGTTTTTGCTTATTAATTTTTCTTGTTTTATACATTGAATCTCATCTCACCTGGACCTGGGGTGGTTGGTATTACTGTATACACAGGACTTAAAGCCTCATTGCACATATCTTTATCATCACAGCATGCTATAGACTTTGGTATGCGATGAGGAACAAGATTTCCTTTACACTGAAATAACAAGTTCACATAAGCATAGCCCAATTATGAGAGTCCAAAAGAATTGTGGTTAATTCAAAATCTGGTAAAACATATATATAGCAGAAATAATTAATTAAATGTTCTTTGGTCATATTAAAAAGAACAAAATTCTATTCAATAGTTCCACATCAAGTAGTTTGAAACACCAAACAATGTAAAATGAAATTTTGAAACTTTTTTTTACTTAAACAAATTCCATTTTTGTCTAACAAATGAAGAAATTAAAATTCGCTGCTGCTATCCTGTTTTCAGAAAAAAAAATAAAACCAGTCCAATGCAACCCCCCCCCAGAAAAAAAGTGCAAAAATTAAGTAATAAAGAAGTATAAAATTTATGTCAACTTATTTTATACTCAACTGTTGCCAGGAGAACTGTTATTGTTGGAGAACATTGTTCCAAGAAACTTTAATGAGATTTGCTTATAAACATCAAGCTAATGTAAACACCTTATCATAGACAACACTCAAACCATTCCTACACATTACAGAATATTTGTTACTGACTATGGCATCATTAAAAGGGGATTGTGACATTTCAGTAGAGTAAATGGACAAAATATTGACAAAAAGTATGTAAATAAATATAAAATAAGAGAAAAAGAACCAAAAAGAAAAATTATGATAAAAGAATAGTAACCAAAAAATTAAGCTACAGCACCAATTTGTTTTTGTGTTAAAGGCCAATTTCATTATGCATAAAACATTATATACCCAAGATAAACCTTCTATTGTATATTAACATGTAAATGCAAAAGGTTGCATGCACACTAACACATTATGCATTGTTAAACTACATTATTACTTGAAATAAAATCAACTTCATAAGAGTCGCAAAGTGTTCAGCAGAAGAGTAAACATTGTAAGGAACACCTGACTGAAACTATTATATAGTATATAACCATTTTCTGAAAGCATAACATTTATTTTTGAAAACTGTTGAACAATATTACAATTTTGCTTGTACTTAAAACACTAAATTTTGTTCAAAAATCGAACCATTATTACCAATAGAAATGACCCATTTACAAAACAATACCTAAGTTAATGGTATATTCAGTCAAATTATTTGTGATTAATTTTATTATTAAGGTTTAACAGCTGTCTACAAGCTGATGAAAATTAGGTCACCCACTAAACATACTGACATGATTACGTGATACATAATTACTGCCACTTTTATATTTAAAGAATAAAATCTTCTAAGTATAAACACATGTTGTTTAAATCTATGAGTAAGCAAAAAAAGGTACATATATTTTTGTTTACAAAGTCAAATTCAATTTATTTTCATGTATGAAAACTTAGGTGATTCATAGGATCAAAAGCATTGAAAGCATAAAAAAAGGAAATCAAGTAAATACGTATGTATTATGGTTAAGTTATCTATATCCAAAAGAACTAGTAATATCCTCTACTGTGCATAGGGTTCTGCACATTATTTATTAAGTACATAATTATAAAAATCATAAAAGTACAAAGAAAATTTTAAGTATGTACATATCAACATAGAATGTGTATTTAGCTATACAAATAAAATTTCATATTAAAGGCTAAAGTAATAAATACAATAGCATTTTTCATAAGAGGCAGAACTTGTCAAGTTTTTCTTACAAGCACTCATACAATCTAAATGTACCAATTAGAAGTCACACATTGTGTTCCTTTTCCAGAACAAATATTCAATAAAATCTTTTAGACCTGTAATGTGATGCTACATAAACAAATGCTGAAATGCTCCATAGCTTCACTATCAGAACTTCGGCCTATTTCCCATTCTGATTCCTTTACAGGGTATAAACTTAGCAACTAAAAATAAAATTACAAAGGTGCTTCTTACAGTACTAATGCAATGTTTCTGATATGTTATTTCATTAAAAAAGGTTGCATGTACATGAAGTGTGTTTAGCTACTAGAAAAAATATTCTGAACATATATCTTATGTATACTGAGAGCAATCACTAAATCTACACTTAACGTAACAGATAAAAGTTTTTACTAAGTTACCTTACACAGACAGCACAGGGATTAGTTAACAGATTAAATTTTGTTACTGCATCATTTTGTGTAGAAAGCATTTAGCACCTCTAACAATTAACTGTGCTACTTAAAAATACTGAAACTTCCTTGCTATGTTTGTGTAGAGTGCAAAAATTTGAGGTAATTCAATATCATTATTATTACGAAAAACACAAGAGATTCTTAAATACTGAACAACTGAATCAAAGTGACATACAGTTTACAGTTTCAGTTGACCAACAAGTATTCCTAAACAAAAGAAAACAGCCATGTATTTCAAAGTCTGGGCGTAAGATTGTTAACCTCTGTCAATTTCAAATCAATATTATTTTGTCAACGGCAGCAGAAAACATGTCCAGATTCTTTGTTGTTTTTTTTTCTGGGGGTGTGGAATTCTTCTGTGATAATAACCTTCATTTTTCAGGTGAAGGTTATCAGATGGTTTTGGGAGTAGTTTTAGAACCCATTGCCATCCTAGATGCTCTGTTATGCAAGTTTTCTGCTTCCATGGAGATTACTGACAGTTGTCTTCTTCAAAGTGTTTTCTTTTGGACCCACACCACTTAACAAACTTACTACTCAACTATCTATTCTTGGAAAAAGCTATGACATATTCCTCCAAACATAAGTCTATTTGACAGCACTGAATTACTGAATGGTTGGAAATAGAACGTGAACCAAATATCAAGGTGTTAATTGTTGCTTTTGGTAATACAATTCACATCTGCAACAACTTGCTCTGTATTCAAGTATTCAAATTGATCTTATAAAGTAAGCTTAATCCTCTCCTAATCTTTGAATACTGATCATAAGTATTATACTATTGCTTTGTTACAGATTTCATTAACCACTTATATTCATGCAAATAAAAATGAATTTCAAACACATGCAACCTTGATCCACAAATAAGTTGCAGGATTGAATTTGTCCATACTCATAAATACCATACTGAATGCTCAAAACTTTTCAGGCACCAGTCACTGATGTACACGTGTGTAAAACTTTAACAGTAACCTTACAACATATCATAAAAGGTTTAAGTAAACACTGAGAAAAACAGAATATAACAGCAGTATTTTAGGTTATCTTAGAATTTCAAGAAAAATAACAATATAGCAGAATCTGAACACCTTTAGTTAAATTGAAAGAAAAATTGAGCCAAAATCAAAGACTCTTGCATATATAAAACCAATGTTCAAGCAAAAGAATTGGAACAGTAGGAGAGTTCCTGTGAATAAAGCACTGGCAAAATAGTATGATAATACATTATCACTCAGTTACACCCTCTATTTGTATAATGGGATAAGTCTCACATTATTCAATTGTTACAAATTGTTTCTTGATCTTGTCACTGATGTTTCATTATATTGATAATACAAGTTTTGATGGTGATTTTTGGAGCAGAAATTCCAATGTCAGAGGCTAAATGTTTAACTATCATCCCCAGTGGTCAACATTTAATAACCTATCTCACTGTGTTTTTTCATTTCCTTGTTTTATATTCAACAACCATTTTGCTACAAATGACTACAGACAGTGAACAGTTCAGATGTGAGATTCAGTGTCCATATTTTACTCAACATGCGATGCTTATTATGATGTACCTCACCACTGCATAGGTTCTATTTACACATATGCTTCTCTTACATTTGATTTGCCTATCCCACAAACACTCATCCAATTGTCTGTGTGTATATGTAAGCAGTAACGCATAACACAATAACAGGAAAAAAAATATATCTGCTGTTATGATTTTTTGCTTTTGCATAAGACAATATTTTTGCTCAGTCATTTTAAAATCCTTTGATATGAATGGGCACTTGTCATTTAATTTACCTGTAGTATAGGGATGGCTTACTTAGATCACACCCTGTTCTTTTCAACCATTAATATCTTATTGATCAAAAGAAAGGGAGATTGTGGAAGAAAGTTTATCAATAATGATTAATACCATCTCTTGGTACACTTATATTTGTATTTTCAAATGTAAAGAGCCATATCTACATGTTCCCACGTCATCCTTTAACAAGGTCTAATGTTAGGTTATAGAATAATATTATACATTTATTTATTGATAATATTAGGTATGGTAAAGTTTAGTCCTAACTAAACTAAAACAAGTTGCAATGTTAATTTATCTCTATTAAATAAAAGCCTAATGTTAGGCTTAAGACAAGTGAACTTGTAGATTTTGGTGTCTGCAATTATGATTCTTTTGTGTTATTCTAGAAATTCTGTATTTAAGGAAGTACAGTTGCAATAAAGATACCAATTTCACTACAAATGTTTCGCAGGTCTCTGCAAGTACTACATATAAGAGAAACTTTAAATTCAAGCTTAATTCACCAAATACTTTGGAATTGTTGATTCACAAAATAAAAGTTAAGTAACTTACTGAATGTTATTTATAAAAGTAAAGTTTTAATTGTCACCTCTGTAGCACATCAAGTTAACCTTAAACTTTCCTTATTACTCTTTGAGAGATATTTTTAGCATTTTGATAGAATAATTTAGAGTTATCAAGTATCTACTTACTTGCAAAATGCCACTTTCATTTGGAGGCAAGCAGCCATATGTGCGTTCTGCTTCTAACTGCCCAGTTGCCATGTTAACAACTTCTTCTACAGCACTAAAACATCGACCACCTTTTCTAGCAGTACATGTTCCTTCTAGTTCATTATTTGGACAGTGTTGTACACAGTAACATTTGAGCCCAGACACTAGAATAAAAATCAGAACATTGCAATACCATAAAACATTAACATTTCAGTGGCATATTTTAAATCAACTTTCAAAACTAGAAAATAACACATTTCAATGTAAATTAACGGTACTAAACTCATACCTAGTTGCTCATGTAATGTTTTAACTCCATGAAAACTTGTACTAATTTTTATACATCAGAGCTGTATATTAATTGTGTGTAACCAATAACTAGCGTTTCCAACAAAAAACCTAAATTCAGCAAACAGCTGACACATTAAAAACAAAGGTAGTTTGGACAGTAGAACTGTATTAAAAGAAAAAATAAATTCAGCCAACCAAATCCCATAATTTGGCTTCAACTAAACTTGTTTAAAATTCTATAATACATTAATGCACCATATAAGATTAAAATGAAACAATAAATAAAAAAATACAATGTTTAGAATAATAAAAACTACTAACAAACTTGCTGAAGAACAATCAAACTAGGCATTACTACATGACCTAGTATTAAAAGGGCATCAAGGTCATTCTAAACAGTATCACACTTATTGTATGTTTACTTTCAGATTTAAAGTTAATTAGTCCACTTTCGTTTGAGCTTTTTATTCTTTTAAATAGTGTTGAATGTTTGAATTAAAATTCTTTGTTGTTCAGAAAAAAGTATATGTGTGTATATATTATTTTTATTGAAGTACCTAAATTATAAAGCAATTGCAAATTATATTTTAAATGAATTTCTATTGGTAATTGTCAAGTATAAGTGAATCACTAAAATAATTTTACAAATTAAAATTTCACAAGAAAAAAAGAAAATGCTTTACTGAAAGAAACATTCCTTCCAACATAGAAATAGAAAAAAAAAAGTATAATAAATTTACATAACTTGAACCATGCATCTTTCTAACTTCATAATTTATAATTAATAATGAGGGAAATACATACATGGCTTCTCAAAGCTTGTTGACATATACTACTTTCTCTAGGTTTTGTAAAATTTCAAGATTATATTAATTTAGCTCAGTTAGTGAAAGGTGACATATTCATCAAGAGTTAGCTTAACTTTCAAGAGTAATCCTATATCCACACACAGAGGTCAACATAGCTAGTCAACTTTAATCTTGCCAACATATGGTGGGAGCCATTAATCTTTTAATGTCTAGGTTGCTTCATTGGTGGTCATGCAAATACAAGAATGTTGAAAGAAATATTTATGTTTCCTGTTGTTTTGGTAACTGTATATCGATAATAACTGCAAGTGCACTTACCTGCTTTGTATTCTACAGAAAATGAGGCACGAACAAAATATAAAATGCTTCTAAAATTTATTTTATGCCATTTCAGAAGGCTTATATACTAGTAGTTGCTAAAGAAAGTTAATCGACTTTAAAAAATATTACTTTAAACTACAAACATTTTACAGGAAAATAATTTCTTGGAAAAATTATGAAAGATTAAAATTTTTGCAACAAAACCCAGTTGTGCCAGTTGAACATAAAAAAATATTCTGCTACAGAGATCATTAGAATAATGTATCATAGAAGTTGCACCAACTTACTTTCAGTTGAAACTGTATGGTGGGTGTGAACTGTTTCTGTCACACACACACAAAATCAAGACTATTTATTATTACCAATAAGCACTAGGACAGTTAGACTCCATCCTAAATTAACAGAGCAGAATCTGAGATCTTTCAGTCAACTTCATGCACCAAAAGGACAATGACTGGAGTTTTAACTCTTAAAAAGTAGAGGAAAAAACAACATCATCATCATAACATTCAAACATATAAGAAAAAAAATTAAAGTGTAAGGAAAGCTAATCTGCCAAGGAAACAAGTCACTGATAAGCTACAATTAGCTTACAGAAAGTAGTAGATAGGTAGTACTGAAACAAGTCACTGATAAGCTACAATTAGCTTACAGAAAGTAGTAGATAGGTAGTACTGAAACAAGTCACTGATAAGCTACAATTAGCTTACAGAAAGTAGTAGATAGGTAGTACTGAAACAAGTCACTGATAAGCTATAAGTAGCTTACAGAAAGTAGTAGATAGGTAGTACTGAAACAAGTCACTGATAAGCTACAATTAGCTTACAGAAAGTAGTAGATAGGTAGTACTGAAACAAGTCACTGATAAGCTACAATTAGCTTACAGAAAGTAGTAGATAGGTAGTACTGAAACAAGTTACTGATAAGCTACAATTAGCTTACAGAAAGTAGTAGATAGGTAGTACTGAAACAAGTCACTGATAAGCTAAAAGTAACTTACAGAAAGTAGTAGAAAGATAGTACTGAAACAAGTCACTGATAAGCTATAAGTAGCTTACAGAAAGTAATAGATAGATAGTACTGAAACTGGAGGGAACAGGTGATCAAATTCATCTTTCTTGTTCAACCTCAAATTGAGATGAAAGGATGTCAGCTGAATGGACAAGAATAAAAGGCCCATCATGCATGATGGATTCCACATCATGTTGTACAATGAGTTTCTCAAAGTCACAGCAGAAAGTTCTTTGTGCTTAACATCTTCACCCACACAGGACATAATTCAAGTTGCCATCAATTGAGAATTTAGGATAAAAATTTAGAAAGTTTTTGAAATAAAAACTAGAGAAAACAAAAATCAAAGTTTTGCTAACAAGAGCAAGTCTCATCAAATTGAACCCAGACAAGAAACTTGAACATGACTATTCAATGAAATGTTGAGGAAAAGAAGGAATTTATCACAAGTGCAAATGGATAGGGGAGTTGCTGTGCAAGGAGATTGTGTCACCCTCCTATTTGTGGAGGGCTATTGTTGTATAATGATGTTATCATATACCACACAGTTCATGTTAACACATGTGGTGGAAGTTAGCTCAAACCAGTGACATCTTAATCTAATAGTCAGATGCATGAGAAAAATAGCACTTCTGTGTTTGGAGGTGAGTTATCATCTCAAATAAATTAAAATTACTTACCAGACCTAGATATTTTTGTTTTTGCATTCCTATAAAACTTCACTCATATTAAGCTTATTAGTTGTTGTTTATTAAAGGCACATTGAAATGTTCACTTTCTGATAAGGATTTCTCATTGATTTGGAATATTTGAGGTTTAAAGTACTATAAAATGTATTCATACAAGATCAATATTATAATTCTGTAAAAAGAATATTACTGGCAGTTATTTACACTAGACAGGGCCAACTATGAGTATTCACAAAGAATTATTAAACAACCCTTTGTTAAAGTATTGTCAATGCATCCTACTCATTCTTTAATTTTCTTTTTACTCTTTTTGTCAAAAATTTTATACTTAATTATAGTTTAAGGTGTCCTGTGGAGCCATTCGGTCAAAGGAGGACTTGGTCAGATAATCAGTATTCAGACAAAACACTACTTTTAACATCTCCAAGCAAGAAGAAAATAAGCAGTTGTGGCTGTCTTAGCTAAACAAGTTAGATTGAAATTGGAACAGCAAAGTGAATGTGCTTTATCAACACATAGTTAAAATGGTTTACCACTTGAAACTCTAACATGGGTACAAAAAAGTTTTATTTCACATCTTATATTATGCACACAATTCCAGGAATTAAAGATGAAATCACAGTATGACAAAAGGAAATGCCACCTAAGTATGTATATAAGGAAGCATAGAAAATGTTTCCAAATAGTTTAAAATTTACTAGTTTCATCAAGAAATATTGAGCTAGCCAAAACACTGTGCTTATACGAGGTTCTTCAGAATTTGCAAATGTTGAATCACAACTGATAACTGAAGTGCACACTTAGGTACACAGAGATACACGATGCAATCCTAAAGACAAGGCCATTCACTCACGGGTCACTCAACTTGATGGTGCTTTAAATGGATTACAAAAGATATCTGGAAAACTTTAATCCAGGGACAAGGTTTCCCTTTCTCAGAGCCTTCTCAAGCAGAAAGATTTTAAATTCATTTACCTCCTTGAGATGTGAGACAATAACAATATGTTAAACCATATATACCACATCAAGAAAATTCTGACATCTCAGTCAACCAAGCTTTGAAACATGTAGCTGCAATGAAGTACACACTTCAGCATCTGAGAGATTCACATGCTATTATAAAGAAATTAAGCTCCTAGTAACTAAAATATGTCAAGAAGTCTCGCTGGAAATGAAATTTGATGGAAAAAAGGAAGAGAAAGGTAAAGAAGATGAATCGAGAAGAGGCATCAATCAACAAACAGATATTAACAATACAATATAAGAATGTCCTTGACACCCTAATATTGCAAATTAAATGGTAGTCTCAAACTTTGGCAGATGTCAGTAATGATTTAAACTTCTTTACAAAGTTCTCACTCTCTTGACAATGTATATAGACAATTTAAAGAAGTGTGCATCTGACTTGGTTCTAAAACAAGTCGAAGATATCAATAAGGAAGATTATTACTAAAATAGAAAGGTTTACATTTCAATCAGCTTCAATTTTGCCAAACCTTTGTACTGCTACTCCTTTAGATTTACAGCACTTCATTAAAAATGGTCTCTTAGCTCTTCTTATGCTAACGTAGTAATTTCATACAGACTGTTTCTTATGGTGCTTGTCACAATTACTTTTTTGTGAATTAGGTTTTATCAAACTGAAGTTGATTAAAACATATCTTAGAACATCTATGTGACTAGAGTTATTCCAGTTTAGCAATATTATCTATAGAAAATCACATTGCAAAACATATTAATTTTGATTGGGTTTTTGCTTCAATAAAAGCCAGAAAAGTAAACTTTTAAATTTTCAAATATTTTCTTTGATGCTAACAAAATCAAGATCTCCCAATATTCATGTCTCATATAATAAGCCAGTAAATTAGAAATAATTCTTTATGCCTATATGCATAATTGTTACCAATTATGTTTTAAGTTGTAACATTTAATTCATTTTGTGTGTAGTTTCTTTTTAATTATCACTGAATATAACATCATTAATTAAAGGTGTAATCTATTATTTATTTCAATAATTTAATAAACAATGCTTTAAAAATTAGT